CTTGGATGCTGCTCTGACTCTGTCCTGTCTCGTGGAAGGAGTGGATGCGTAGGGAGCGGGAGGCAGCCACACAGCAACTTGAGGAGGAGGCAGAGGTGAGGAGCACGGTGGGAGGGTTGGAGAGTCGCAGAAAAGGGCCGCAACTGGACTTGAAGGCTGGAGAAATTTCTAAAAGTGCTCGTTCCCTGTAACTTCTGTTCTCTGCTCCCCCCCAAAAAGACTTGATTTTTGGGTGTAAGAGAAGATACCAGAAATGAAGAAATCTGTAATGTGATTGAAGAAGGAATGGTGAAAAACAATGGCTAGAATTAGAAAGGCAGACAAATGCAAACGGGAAGCGAAATCAAACAAAATTGTACAATGAGTGTCAGTTAAGGTTGAGAAAAGATGCTGTAGAGGAATTGTAGATTTGCACTCTCAAATGTCTCCAAATCCAGACTGGAAGCCTTTCTGGATTCTATTTGGAGAAAACTGGTATGTATGTCATGTTCTCCCCTCTCCCTGTAAGGGAGTGGACGCGTGCACGTGGGGGCAGGAGGAATGGTGGGGCTCTGGGCATAGTGGGTGACCAGGGGCCCAGAGCGACATGCTCTCTGCAGTATTTCTCAAGCCCAGCCTCTGTCATGGGTCCCCGTGGTTGTGTTCGGAACAATTCCAGGTTCATCTCCAGGCCATGGGAACTTTCTGCAGAGTTTGGAAATAAGGCCTTGGTTGTTACTAGGGGTGGTTTCCTTTTAATTGCTCTTTCTAGTTGATTTAGTTGACTAATGGCCTGATCTCTTCCTGGTGTTTGTGTTTTTTTGCCCCCCCTTGCCCTTCTCCAGAATATCACCAGTGAACCTTTGAGACTGGACTATCGGACCCTGGCTGCTTTGCCCAGCAGTGGTTTACAGAGAGTCAATCGCACTGTAAGTGAGGGGCTGTTGAGGTGTGGGTCCCTGTGTGGGGGAAGCCGTGGTCATTCTGTTACCTGCCCTCTCCTTGTGCCCTGGTGTGAGAGATTACAGTGCTCTCGGCAGAGGAAAACTGGGAAGCAGAACTGTGGTAGACTTTGACACTGTCTGAAACAAGAGGTAGCCACAAAAGAAAGATTAGAATAGGAGAATGAGGAGAGCAGAGAGGCAGATTGCTTTCCATGTTGGAAGGGGAAGTGGCCTGTGTAATTGCCGAGACACAAAAAGAAGTGTCTCGAACAAGGCAGAAAGAACAGCCCAGCAGGAGAGGGGGATACGTGTGAATGAGAGAGTGCAGGGGATTTATCATGGAAGGAAGCAACTGCTGAAAGCTGCAGAGGAGGGAGGGGAAGATTCTTCCTGACACCGAAGGTGACAATGTTGTGTGCACAGCTTAGTTGTAAATTCATTGTGGGATGGCGTTTAGAAAGGAGGAGGGATGCGGGGTGCTGATACCCAAAGCATTAAAAGAAAGTCAAGATCCATCTAGGACTGCAGAAGGCAAAGTGGTAGTGATTGCATATAATGACTTAGCCCTGATACAGCCTTGGATACTCCCGCCCTGATACAGCCTTGGATACTCCTGCCCCTGTGACCTGTATTTCAGTCCCTGATATGTACTGGCAACTCAACCAAGAGAAAAATCCATATTTCACAAATTCCACAGATTGCAAAGTCATCTGTCTCTCCTGTGTTGTTTAAAATGTCACCTCACCTCTCCACCTTTCCTTCCTTTGGTCATGTTTTCTCTTCCCTGCATCATACCTATTCCACTGGGTTTCTGCCTGCTCCTTCACACACATCCTCAGTCTTCACCTCCATTCCTTTCTTCCTGTTGCAGCAAGACCACCCTTTGCTGTCATCGTCAGATTCTGCATTCCCATTCCATTGTTTCGGGATCATCTCTTACTGTCTCCATCTCATTCCATCCAGACAGGTCTCCTCTCCTATTCATCTATCCTCTCGTTGGCTTCAGGCCCTCTTGCTTTTCTGCTTTCACACTGATTAGAGCCCTGCTTTGTCTCCAGCTTTGTCTCATTTTGTTCTTCCCCATACTCCCCAGCTTTTGGGGTTTCTATCCTGGCTGTTCACACAGAAAAGTATTGTCAGGAAAAGGTTTAATGTATTTTTAGCATCTCTTAGTGTAACTTAGTAGCTGGAAACAAGGGGAGAGCCAGCCCCACGCAAGCAGCTGCCTCTTTGCTGGACAGCCCGAGTGTTGTCCAGAGCAGAGCAGCATTTGGGAACTTGTGCCTTAGCAGTCCGTGTCAGCCCAGGAACGCCTGGCACTGGAATGTGGGGCCGAACAAGCTGGAATGCCGGGGCGTATGGGCGGCATCTATAAATGTCCCATTTCAGGGGAAGGGCCAATTGGTGCCCATGTTTATCTTTTTCCAGCTGTCATTTGCCCAGCCCTGTCTTTGCTCTGTTTGAAAAAATATGTCTGCCTAGATTGTGAGTACAGGGAGATACGGGCTTCAAGGACAGCAAGGTTCTGGCGTTCCTTTGGGAGCTGTACTTGGCCTATTTGGTGACTGCCTGGAAGACTCAGACACGGCCAGCAGAAAAGCATGTGGTTCAATTAACAGGTTGTCCATCTCCAGACAGTCTGACTGGATTAAGATGACTAATGCTATTGCCCCGTTCCCATAGTATTTTTCTGTTTCTTCCTGTCTCTAGGCCAACTTTCTGACCACGTACATTCTCCTCTGAACAGTGTCTACATATCTTTTGTTGTCATGTAGTCCCCTGCAAGTGTGACTTTCCTCACCCTGTTGAACAGGAGGAGGTGCAGACCTCTGTCATGACTGCTGTAAATTGCAGGTGGAATTTATCATGAGGGTGCCCCAAGAATTGCCCTTAAAGAAGGGGGCAGATGGTTGTCTATGTTGGATTAATCTGTATTGCTGTGTATTGGTCCTTTTGTGAGCAAGATTTAACAAAGGCTTACTGAGATGCAAGCCTGTTTTGTTTGTATACTTTTAAAACCCCAACTGAAAAATTCCAGTTGAAAGCAGCATGAGAATGCTCATCTCAGTGATGCCCTCTGGCTTGATCTAGCTTGAGGTCTGCAGAGTGCCCAGTGCGCTACAACATCTTGATACTACCATCTCAGTAATAAAAGAGCTATTATAGTCTCTGTCTTCTGTACAGTACAGGCTTGAAAACCGTACCCATGAATGACTGCATCTAGCCACAGCAAAAAAAAAAAATTAAAAATCTAGTTTTGCTTTCTGGACTATAAGAAACGGAGACGACTTTGCTCAGTAGCGTGTCACCATGGTTGGTTAATTAACAATCTGACTTTCTAGTCTGAATCTAAACCTCTTCAATTTCTAGCCATTGATTCGTTCTCTGTACTTGTTTATTAGATTTAAAATTAGATTTGCTTCAGTGTCTGGGGCAAAGTGATGGATCAGAACTGCCAATGCATTTCTTCTGTATTTGCCTTGGAGGCTGCAGGGTAAAACATGATTGTCCTGTCTGCTAGACTGGGGAGTGACAGAGGCAATGCTGGCAAAAGCACACTGCATTGCCAAAATCTTTGCTTACCCAAAATAGAAATTGTTGCTTGTCTGATAAAAATAGCCCACTGTGAAGTAGAGGGAGCAAGGCATCCTGCACTGGAATACACTGCTGCAGCAGAAGCGCGGGAGATTAAAGCGAGGGGTAGATGAAGCTCAAATCCAGTCATGTCCATGAACAAAATAGGGATGGAGGCTCCCCATGGACTGTCAGACTTCATGCAGTCTTGGTGAGATGCCCATCTCCACAGCACCCTAAAAGTGGTGTTTACTTTTTCCCTTTGTGCGAAGCAAGGTAGACGGTGGTGGTGGGATTCACCTGGAACCTTGGTCGGTCAGTGTTTGTGCTCTTCTGCTTGGCAAGGGAAAGCGGCAGCTCTCCTGGAGGGGCCTGGCTGTAGGACCCACAAACCCACTTTGCGGTTGTGGATTGCTGGCAGCATTTTCATTACAGTATCACCAATGAACAAATAAGGTTCCTGAAAGTACTTTTTGCCTGGCATAACTTTATGTGCACTAGAGCTCTTGCTAGTGTAGTTTATGGCACTCTGGGAAAAGAAGGTTGGAATTTGGGGGTTTTTTGGTAGGGTTTCTTTACATGGGAAAGTCACATAGCTACAATAGCAACATTTCTAAGGGTAGCACAGGCTTCACTGTCTGAAGAAATATGATATGAGCCAGGGCTCTGCCAACCACTGCTTTAGTTTGGGTTGGGGTTGAGGGGTTAGGGGAGGGCCTCAGAAATTCCTGAGCCTCTCAGCTGCCATTGTAGTCACCAGCCCACCCAGCCCTTGAGAGCTATTTTTGTGAATGCTGCCGTGACACAGGAGTTGGAGAATGTGCTCTGAGCAGAAGAGGTCTTTCTGCTCCCTGGCAGGCACTTGGATAGAAGGAGATTTGATCGTTGCTCTCCGATTATCTCTACTTCCCTGAAGAAGGCTTTGGCTGGGGTAACAAACTCTCTTTTATAGCATTAAAAGAGGAAAGGTCAGTGCTTCATCTTGGATGGGTACAGTTGAGTCTAGGCAGAACTGGAGCTCTGTTTCAGTCTTGCCTTCAGTAAGAGCGCTCAAAGGGATCCATGCTCTGTTAGCTGTTATTTAGCTCTCTGTTACCTGTTGGTGTGTATTTTGATGAAGTGGGGCCGTAAAAGCATGTTTGTCCATGCAGGTGTGATGGAAATGCATGGGGTAGACGATATGGTGGTAAGTGTGTAACTTTATGGAAATGCATTGGAGCGACGTGAGAGGTGTTACTCTGTGTGACAGTGCTGGAACTACTTGAAAGTATGCTGGGGTGAGACAGTTGATGTTTGGCCACGTGATGGTGGAGTTGAATTGAGGATGTGCTGCAGTGAGATGGGAGAGGATGTGTGCTTGTGAGAGGACGTGTGCTTGTGCAGGTTTGGGCAATCAGTTTTGCTAGAGAGCAGCAGTGTTACTGGTGAGCTGCTGAAGTGCAGGCTGGAATGTGCATGAGAGCAAGAAAAGTGGAGGGAGTGTGTTTGTGCCTGTCAACTACTTGGTGTATGTATTGCCTGCTGACAGCAAGGTCCTCTCCTGGAAGTAGCATTTGGGATCACGAGATTGGTCGTAGAGTAGAAGAGAGGGAAGGGATGGTCGTGTGGGCATTAGTACTGGAATTCTTCTCTGCCCTGTCCTTCAGCAGCAGCAGCTGCTCTGTATTTTCTCCCTCCTCTCCTTTACTCTGTTCTCCTTATTTCTTTCTGATCCTTTTGTTTTCCTCTCAGCTTGTTCAGTATAATAAGGCCAGCTCCAGAATGGAGGGCGACTGCACTGTGCTGTCTCTGCCAGTGGCACAGGACAGCCAGGATTCATACCCAGAAACAGCTGCAGGCCCGATCATCGGAAGCGTGGCTGGCCTCCCTCAGGACCCTGCATCACCCGACAAGTGCGCGAGCGGGGCAGAAAAGCCCCAGCTAGACAAGCAGGATCCCACAGGTTGCCCCTTGTCCCAGGACCAGATGCCAGAGACGCCAGAGCAAGAGTGCATGATCGACTCTCAGCCGATCCTCTTCAGTGAGAACCCCTTTGTGGTGGCTAACCGCAGGGGGAAAGCAGCAGGCAAGGCTTGCCTGGGGGGCCCGCCCCTGGGCTATGGCAGGGGGGGAGTGCTGAAGACCAACCTTTACTCCAAGGCAAGCAGTCCCACAGCATGCTGTGTGTGGCATGCAATCACGCAGTTAAGGCCACCTGCATTCTACTAAACCCCTGCGCATGCACCAGACCCCGGATGCCAGGCAGCACGAGGCCTGTGCGGGGGCTGGTCCCACCTAACACGTGCTTCTCCAGTGTTGCGTGCAGAAGCTCTCGGTTGCCGATGGTCAGTGAATTGTCTTCCAGCCACTAATGTACCCCAGTTGTTGCTAAGTGTGGGTGCTGCCGAGCGCCTCTTTGAGGGGAGGCAGTGATGTCGGGCGACTTCCCCAGTGTCTCTTTGGGTGGGCAAGAGTCAGGCTAGGAGCAGCGGTGTTCCCTGTCTGCTGTGGTTGGGTTGGCATATATAAGCTGGCAGGGCTTACAGAAGAATGGTGGTGGTGTCACACTTATGTATCCGGGCCTGAACAAACACAGGTGGTTTTAGACTTCTGAAAACCAAGAGGCAGCACAGCTGACATAGTTAATCTGCAGCCCAGGAGAATGCTGTTCCTTGAAGTGGCACATTTCAATATATCTGGACTTTCAGATTTCAAGGCGGGACTTTGCTTTCCGCTCTGGGAAATCTGTTTGTATTTAACTTTCTCACTGTTGCACAGGAAACCTGTGGCAGAGCAAGGACTAGACCCAAAGATATTACATTCCAGATTAGCACCACGCTACTCTCCCTTTCTTCCTTTCTCAGCCTTTTAGGAGGTCTGAAAAGCAAGAGAAGCAAAACCACCACAAACATACAGCCCCCCCCCACACAAGAACAAACAAACAAACAAAACAACACCCAGCTATAGTTCTCTTAGATGTTTTTAGCCTAGTTCCTTGGTGACAATTTGTTTTTCACAGATGTGTGGGCAGATAAGCATAGAGCAAGGCATGTAGTTGAATCTCTGTAACCTCTCAGTATATTAAGAGTCAAAGGCTGTGGTTTGGACATCAGAGACATCCAGCTTTAGAGTTCAAAAGATCAAAAAAGCAGCAGTCACAGAGTACAGACCCTTTTTGAAGGTAGCCTTTATGCCAGATCAGCTGTCATCAGTCTGGAGGTGGGTGTCACAGTTAGCTGGAGCTAATTCCACGTTGTGGTCAAAAGGGATCAGTTCCCCCTGTCTGCATGTTCTCCTCCTGTGTGCTGACACCAGAACTGGAGCAGTTGTGTGTCAGCTGGGTTAGGGAGCTGAAGTCCCTGAAAAACAGTATTGTAGAACAGCCCCTTCCTTGGGGATTGGTAAGCTGCATGTGCCGGCACATGGGAAGACTTGGATAGCAGTAGCCAGAAGCAGGGTGAGCAAGAACACTCTTTGCAGTGGAGGCATGGAAGTAGATCAGTTGATACTGCTGCATTCTCTGTCATTGCAGTGCTAAGAAGGATCGGATGTTTTCTGTGCTCCAGTAGAAACTTCAGATCATGTCTCCTGGCTTGGTCAGTATAAATACCATTCCCCAAGGCTGAATTGAATCAAATTAACATGATTCACCAGTGTGTGGGTATGGTATTAATGATTGCAGGACCCTAGTTTTGCTTAAACAGTTCTCTAAATCCCAAATGACCTGTTTCCGTCTTTAGGCATCTAAAGTACTTTTGAAATCATGCTCCTTAGTCCTGTGAATAGGCTGCAGGTAATTATTGGGACTCTGCTCTCCTGTTGTAGCTGTTGGGGCTGGCTGTAGGCTGACTCAGTCTGAGCGTTGGGCTGATGGGATTGATCTGTCAGAGAAGGGAAGGAGCGTCTTCAGTCACAGGCTTGCTAAGCTGGTGAAGAGGGCTTTAAACAAAAGTTGCTGGGGGACAGGAACCTCAATCCATCCCACTCCTACCAGTTTGATGCCAGTGCTAGTAATAGATGCCCAGAGCCTGGAGCAGGATCACAGGTCAGCAGGAGAGCACCTGAAGAGCAGCACAAAGGAATTCCAGCCACTCCAGCCAGTAAGTCAGCTTGACTGGGGGCCCAACTTAAATGCCTCTATGCAAACGCACATAGCATGGGGAATAAACAAGAGAAGTTAGAGACGTGTGCATGCCTGCAGGGCTATGATCTTATTGGCATCACGGAGACATGGTAGGATGGCTCCTATGACTTAAGTGTTGGAATGAAAAGATACGGGCCTTTTAGGAAGGACAGGCAGAGGAGATGAGGAGGGGGTGTCACCCTCTATGTCAGTGATCAGCTGGAGTGCATGGAGCTCCACCTGGGGATGGATGAGGAGCCGATGGAGAGCTTATGGGTCAGGATTAAAGGGAGGGCAGGGACAGGTGACATTTATAGTGGGGGTCTGCTACAGGCTGCCTGACCAGGAAGACCAAGCAGATGAGGCCCTCTATAAACAGATAGGAGCAGCTTCATGTTCACAAGCCCTGGTCCTCATGAGGGACTTCAGCCACCCCAATATCTGTTGGAGGGACAACACAGCAGGGCATAAGCAATCCAGGAGGTTCCTGGAATGTATTGTTGATAACTTCCTTCTGCAAGTGACAGAGGAGCCAATGAGGAGAGGTGCTATGCTGGACCTTGTTCTCACTAAGGAGGGGCTGGTGGGGAATGTGAAGTTCAGGGGCAGCCTTGGCTGCAGTGACCAAGAAATGGTGGAGTTTGAGATCCTTAGGGCACTGAGGAGAGTGCATAGCAAGCTCACTACCCTGGACTTCAGGAGAGCAGACTTCGGCCTCTTCGGGGATCTGCTTGGTAGAGTACCATAGGATAAAGCCCTGGAGGGAAGAGGGGCCCAAGGAAGCTGGTTAATATTCAAGGATTACCTCCTCCAAGCTCAGGAGTGACAATCCCAACAAAGAGGAAGTCAGGCAGAAACACCAGGAGGCCTGCATGGATGAACAAGGAGCTTCTGGACAAAATCAAACACAAAAAGGAAGCCTACAGAGGGTGGAAGCAAGGACAGGTAGCCTGGGAGGAATACAGAGAAATTGTCCAAGCAGCCAGGGATCAGATTAGGAAAGCTAAAGCCTTCATAGAATTAAATCTGGCCAGGAATGTCAAGGACAACAAGAGAAGCTTCTATAGGTACGTCGGTGATAAAAGGAAGACTAGGGAAAATGTGGGCCCTCTCTGGAAGGAAATGGGAGACCTGGTTACCCAGAATATGGAGAAGGCTGAGGTACTCAACGACTTTTTTGCCTCAGTCTTCACCAGCAAGCGCTCAAGCCACACCGCCCAAGTTGCAGAAGGCAAAGGCAGGGACTGGGAGAACGAAGCACTGCCCACTGTAGGAAAAGATCAGGTTTGAGACCATCTAAGGAACCTGAAGGTGCACAAGTCCATGGGACCTGATGAGATGCATCCGCAGGTCTTGAGGGAACTGGCGGATGAAGTTGCTAAGCCACTATCCATCATATTTGAGAAGTCGGGGCAGGTCGGTGAAGCTCCCACATAACCCCCATTTTTAAAAAGGGAAAAAAGGAAGACCCAGGGAACTACAGGCCAGTCAGTCTCACCTCTGTGCCTGGCAAGATCATGGAGCAGATCCTCCTGGAAACTGTGCTAAGGCATATGGAAAATAAGGAGGTGATTGGTGACAGCCAACATAGCTTCTTTAAGGGCAAATTGTGCCTGACAAATTGGTGGCTGCCTACGACAGGGTTACAGTGTTGGTGGATAAGGGAAGAGCAACTGATGTCATCTGCCTGGACTTGTGCAAAGCATTTGACACTGTCCCACACAACATCCTTCTCTCTAAATTGGAGAGACATGGATTTGACTGATGGACCACTAGGTGGATAAGGAATTGGCTGGATGGTCATACTCAGAGAGTTGCGGTCAACTGCTCAATGTCCAAGTGAAGACCAGTGTCAAGTGGCATTCCTCAGGGGTTGGTATTGGGACCGGCGCTGTTTAACACGTTTGTTGGCAACATGGACAGTGGGACTGAGAGCACCCTCAGCAGGCTTGCTGATGACACCAAGCTGTGTGGTGTGGTTGACATGCTCGAGAGAAGGGATGCCATCCAGAGGGACCTTGACAGGCTGGAGACGTGGGCCTGTGCAAATCTCATGAAGTTCAACGAGGCCAAGTGCGAGGTCCTGCACCTGGGTTGGGGCAATCCCAAGCACAAATACAGGCTGGGCGGCGAATGGATTGAGAGCAGCCCTGAGAAGGACTTGGGGGTACTGGTGGATGAAAAGCTGGGCATGAGCCAACAATGTGTGCTTGCAGCCCAGAAGGCAAACCATATCCTGGGCCGCATCAAAAGAAGCATGGCCAGCAGGTCAAGGGAGGTGATTCTCGCCCTCTACTCTGCTCTCATGTGACCCCACCTGAAGTACTGTGTTCAGCTCTGGGGCCCCCAACATAAGAAGGACATGGACCTGTTGCAGCAAGTCCAGAGGAGGACTCACCTGTCCTGTGAAGACAGGCTGGGAGAGTTGGGGTTGTTCAGCCTAGTGGAGAGAAGGCTTCAGGGAGACCTTATTGCAGCCTTTCAATACTTAAAGGGGGCCTACAAGAAAGTTGGAGAGGGACTTCTTACGAGGGCATGTAGTGATAGGACAAGGGGTAATGGCTTTAAACTGAAAGAGGGTAGATTTAGATTAGATATAAGAAATTCTTCACTATGAGGGTGGTGAGGCACTGGAACAGGTTGCCCAGAGAAGCTGTGGATGCCCCATCCCTGGAGGTGTTCAAGGCCAGGTTGGATGGGGCTTTGAGGATTCTGGTCTAGTGGAAGGTGTCCCTGCCCATGGCAGGGGGTAGGAACTAGATGATCTTTAAGGCCCCTTCCAACCCAAACCATTCTATGATTCTATAGGTTCCTGTGGAAGGGGTGTCTTTCCTACTCTGGGCTACTCGTGAAGGTCTTACCAGTAGGCCAACAGCAATGGATGTGGCTGGGGATGAATCTTGTCTCCTTTCAGTTGGGAATAGCTTTTTTTGCTCAGTGACAACAGGAGGTTTGCCTAGACTGTGGCCCAGTCTGTTGAGGGCTAAAGAGAAGTTAGGGGGAGAGGATTCCTGGGGATGTTTTACAAGGCAGAAGGCTTTAAGCGTTTTCAGTTGGCCTTGCAGCGTGTTTGGATATGTCAGTTCCAATGTTTAATGTTATTTCCCTGCTGTTTCTAGCACTTTTTGCAAGTTTCTGCCGTGTGACACCTGCTGTTGGGCCCAATGCTAACTCTGCTCTCTGCGGTGAGGTGGCTGGATGTCAGTGGTCTCAAAGCTAAGGGAGAGGCATGGACGTTGCTGCTCTACAGTAACTATCTAGCTTTGTCTTCTCTCTTTCAGGCTCCTGCAGGCGAGTCTGGGACAGGAAATTCCAGACGTGAAACCCCCTATTCTCCTAGTAATCAGCAGGTGAGACTGCCCCCAGGACAGGCGATACGGGGAAGGGCAGAGGCATGCTTCCAGGGTAAGACGGCACCAGGGCGGAGGAAGCCGAGTAGGATTTCCATCCTTGAGAGTGATACCTTTGAGGTGGAGAGGTATCTATCACAGGAGGCAACTAGAGAACTAGTGGAAGAACTCTGCTCTTTCAAAATGTCTCGGACACCCAGGAGTATAATTAGCTAGTCATAAACTCAGTGGAAAGTTACTGCTACCGCTTAATGAGCAGGGGAGCACCTACAGTGACTACAAAATGGTAGTTGTCTGTCTTTTGAGAATGGCCTTACCAACACCTTATACAGAGACTATTTAATTCTGGCAGTTGGTATGTCAAAAGAAATGGAGAAGTCAGGATTTGGAGAATCATCTCAGGTCTGTAAACCAGTGCTACTCAGAGAGATTCCTAGTTCTGTTTGTGATGCTGCCAGCAACCCACATCAGCTGTTCAGAAGAAAATGGAAGGATCCTGCAGCAAACAATTATAGGTTAGCCTACCCTTAGGAAATGATTTTCTAAACCCCTTTGGTTAGAGGCCAGCTTTCACTCTGAAATGGGAAGTTTCCTTATTTCTTGTAACTATTGATTTTTTTGGGGGGGGGGAGTAAAGCATTACCTATTCTCACTAGCCGTTCTTATTTTTCATATCAACTCTGATCTTTTCTTTTAAATCTTGTTAATTCTTTGATTTCACTTTTCATCCTGTGGCAATACGTTTCACAAGTTAGTTGAGCCTTTTGAAGTTAAATACTCTTAAATGGGTTTTCTTAAATTTTCCCTTCACAGTCATTACATGTTACTGGTTTTTATATTAGGGGCCTGGAATGAACTGACAATTGTACTTTGTACTCCATCCTTAGTCATTTTGTGACTTGCATTCTTTTTGGAGTGCAACTGCTCTCCAATTACTTGGTCCCGCTAGCTCTGGCACATACCTGATCTTTAGCTGAGTCATTTCAGTTCTCTAAGCTGGACAAAAGCTGTCTACCTTTTTGCTAGGTTAGTTCAGCCTAGTGAGATGAATTGCATCGTCTTGGGGTGAGGTGACAACACTGAGGAGAAGGGTCAGGACCATGTGGCTGGGAGCAGTGAATAGGGCAGTGGAGCTGTAGTGAGCAACAGTTCAGTCCATCTTGGATTGCTTCCTTGGCCTATCTTGCATCTGCCTCAGTTCTTAGATCCTTTGAAATTGAGTAACCACCAGGGACACAATAAGATTAGAAGGTATTATTCATTATAGTAATACTGTTTCAATCCTTTCTCTTCCAGCTGCATACATTTACTTGCTTTTCTGACAGCAGTTGCATACTGATTGGAGGTTTATTTTGGGCTGTCTGTCTGTAAGTTTTCCTTTTACCACAAGTGCAAATTTTCTTTGAGATTGGGTTCTTTCTACCCAGAAGGAATGGGGTGGGGATGATACTCCTCATTCTACAATAGAGCAAATTAATATCTAGAGCTCTTTCTGTTTTTAAAGATCCTCAGCTCTCAGTTGAAAAAGAAGCCTGAATCCCAAAGGGTGGCCCTGTAGCTGCTCATAGAATGATTTAGGATGGAAGGTCTGGTCTAAGACCACACTCAGAGCAGGTCCAATTAGATCAGGTTACTCAAGGCCATGTCCAGTTAAATTTTGAATACCTTTAGAGATGGAAAGTCTGTATCTTTCTAGATGCCAGCTCCAATATTTGACTACTCTTGTTATGATTTTTTTTTTTTTAAACTTGTATTTGGATGGAATGTCCCTTGTTCCAATTTGTCCTAGGCAACTTTTGTAGTACCCCTGATGTTTTTGTTTATCAGTGTTTTGGCATTGGAGGTTCACTGCCAACGTCCTTGCCACTAGCAACCCTCTGGCTATAATGCCACCTGCTCTTCTAACTCAGGATGGGCTTGCTTAGTGATAAATTGTTTGTCTTTAGAATCTAATGGTTTGCCATTATCCAGTTCCTGTGGCAACACTGACTGCTTTGTCTTCTCATAGCAGTCACTGCTCTGACAGTGAAAACTTCCCAGGTGACTACTCACTCTCTCCTCTGTGGGCTCTGAGAAGAATAAACAAGGTCTCACTAATGCATTCTATGGAGTTCAGAGCGCCCCAGGAGCATTTTTGCAGATGCAGGCATTTGCCTTTCCCATTTTAAGTTGGATGTCTCAAATTCCCTGTTATGTAGTACTTGCTATAATTTGTAGTCTGTCACTTGAGGTTTTTAGTATTGTGAATTCTCTGTAGCTTGAGCAACATACAGAATAATCTATATAGCTTTTTTCTTGCTTTTTTATCTCTTTGTTCAGAGATGCGTATGCCATGAGAGATTCTATGAATTTCTTAAAGCATTTATAGCCAATTTCATTACTTTGTCCTTTATTTTAGCCTTTTGAGGTCTTCAGCAGGTTTGCTCACTGCTTTTGTTTCTGAGATCTAGTCTGTGTGTCATTTTGATAGCCTTTTTTCCTTACTTGGTCTATGGCTGTTACAAATTAGCGACTCTGGCAGGTGTTCTTGAAGATGCCTTGTTGTCGCAAGGCTGAGCTGTTAGTCTTGCTAGTGGCATTCTCAACCCTGCATTCTGTACCTGAGCTTTCTGTCACATTTACATGATTTAATACTTTTTGGATCAGAGCCTTCCGCAGAAGTCTTCTGCATGTCAGGTCAGGCTGTACCTGGTAGATTTAGTTCTCTCTAGACAGTGAATGTTATACAAAAACGGAACAGGTCCAACAGGTAATACTGAAGGACACAGGGCAGTCACCAGCCTTGTGGCTTGTACATTTTCTGGGAATTCAGGAGACTTGACCTTCAGGTTGTTGCTCCGGAGTATAGGTTCCAAGGAATTGCATCGCTAATTCTCTGCTGCCATCTATTTCCAATGTAAATTCTTTGGTTTTGACATCTTGTAGTCCAGCCAGAATTTATAGGCTTATTTCAGAGCTCTCGGAGAATTACTGAGGGGAATTAATTCTTTGTCCCGAGGCTGGTGTCATGATGGGCTTGCCTGGCCTTGAGTTCTGCAAGCTTCTGGTGGGGGAGGAAGCAGGCGGGGGGAGGAAGGAGGTGTTCATGGTGGGTCTGTGTGTGCGTGCCAAGGAAGGCCGAGGGCCTTTCTCCGTGGCAGGCAGCAAGGAGCTGTGTGGGGACGCTGACAGCTCTGAGTAACTGCAGTCGCTGTGCTGGGAAAGGTGCTTGTCTCAGCCTCTCACACGGAAAACCCGGTCTCTTCATTTTCTCTCCCATTCTCTCCCCTGACGATCCTCCCTGGTGTTGCCCCTCTCCAGACGCCTGCAGCGCCTCGGCCTGCTCACCTCTCAGGCAGGGAGACCCGCTTTGTAAGTGCCTGTTGGTGTGCAGTGTCCGCTGCTGCTCCGCGCTGCTGTCACCCGGCACCGCTGCTCTTCGCCCCTTCCTCCTGCTCCGCGTTCCCTGGCTCTGGGGCTTGGTGCGTGCCAAGGGCTTGCTGCAGAGAGCAGCGCCCGGGGCGGCAGGCCAAGGCGCGAGAGGCTGTTCCCTACCAGCCGCTGCTGAGGCAGCACCTGCGAACGCTTCCTGGCAGAGCAGCTGCGGTGCTGATGGCTTTGCTCAAGCTCAGTAGCAAGTGCAGAGGGCAGGGGATGTACCAAAGGGCCAGGACCGGCTGAGCTGGAGCGGAGATGGGGGAGGCGGGGGCCAGTGCCCAGGGACTGCAGAGGGAGTTGTGAGCGCCTTCGCACATGGCAGAGGAACTGGGAGAAGCTCTTGTGGGTGGGCTCTGGACTGCTCCCCACGTGAAGAAGAAGGTATGGTGGGGGTTAGTGTGGGACTTGAGGGCTTTTCCCTGCACAAGGCAGGTGGCGGGACAGGGGTTAGGGTTGAGAGTTTTGTGTTTCTTTTTGCGTGGAGCAGGGTAAACTAAAGGTTTCCGGTACTGACTCTAAATTTACATCTGTATTTCTCATTTCAGGCTTCTATTAACTTCATTACATCACAGGATGACAATAAATCAGTAAGTACATCTGCCATGAGACCTTATTGTAGTGTCCCTGTGCATTCTCCAGCACACAGAGCTTGCCTCTTCCGTGTGTGCTCGCTTCCAGCCCTGCAAGTCTCACTGTTGGCTCTTATTCTGTCCTCTTCAGTCCTCCACTATACCTCAAGTTTCTATGTATGCACTAAGTCTTAAATATTGTCAATTTGAAAACTTGATGCATGTGTTTTTGCAGCTTTTAGTCCTGTTTACCCTTGCAGCTTTCACTCATGTAGTTTTTGCTGGCCTACTCAATTCCTGCTTCTGTGCTCTTTAGTATTAGATGCTTTGTTCACTTCCACACAGCATCCAACAGTGATGACATCTAGGTCAAATCTCAGACTCTTGTCTCCGCTCTTATGTCTGCATTTCTAACTGGAGCCCTAGCTGGGTCTCAGTTAATTTTCATCCCCAGCTTTTGCCGATACCTGTTCCTGGCTGATGTTTCCCTATTGCATCTCCCATTCATGATGCTTACGTTCTCCAAGCTTTGACATATTCATGCCATACCCCTCTGACCCTTGCAGCTGCTACTTGTATGGCAGATTCTTCCTTGTGTCCTGGCCTTCTCTGTAACCCATTGGTCCTGTCATGACCCTGACTTGTCTGAATCTCTTTTCCTGTCCAAAATACTTGCACCAGAGGCATTGTTTGGTGTTTGCTTCAGTAGTTCTCCTTCCCAGTCTGGTAGCTGGAGTCAGCAGCACAGCTGAGGAATTGAGCTCAGGTGCATGGATTTGTCTTATTTACTTGCATGGCAGAGACATCTTGCTGCCCTAACTGCTCATTTCTCTCTCTCTCTCTCTTCCCCTGCCACCTTCCTCTGCATTTCCCCCTGTTATGTGGTATTGACACAAGCAGACCAAGCCAGGCGTCATTCAGCCTCTTTCCCGAGTGCGACAAAATGCTGCCTCACATAATTCGGAGGACGGGGACAGCCCCAATCCTTTCCAGCAACCTGAGCTGTGCTTCAATATCCAGAACTCTGTAAGTGGCCTGCAGTTCCTTCTTGCTAAGCTATGTCTATCTGCCCTAGGTTGCTATAGTGCCGCTTTTTCTGGTGGGTAGGCTGAACACACCCTTCCCAGTGGTGCTTTGGTAGTTTAAAGATCACATGCCTTAGCTAAGACCAGCTAAGGCTGGTCGTGTTTATGCATCAGTCTGGATGCCCTGGGTAAGAGCCCATACTCTTCACAAGTAGAGTCACATCCCATTCATTTTTCTAATATAGATGAGCCTTACCAGCCTGCCTGGTGTCTTCACTTACCCATTCAAGAAGTTAGCACTGTTGAAACTGTATTGTGGCTGAAATCCCTAGAGCAGTTACAGTTTTAGATTCTTATTTATGAGGTGTTGGGTTCTGTTGAGGCATAAATCTTTCAGAACCTTTGTCTGTCGACGTCTTGCATCTTGGAGCAAGAGCCAATATCATCTTGCTGATAATAAATTTTATGATTTGCAAAATTATTCTTTTTGAAAGTTTCATATTCCCTGGGCTGCATGTTGATGGGAGAGAAAGATTCAGGTATTTTGGTCTTTGTCACGACAGAAGACTTGTATACCTGCAATATAGCCCTTCTCTTTTTATTGAAGCTTGTATGACATGATACCAAATTAAAGACCTGATTTGCAGACAAACAGCTATATATAATCCATGTAATTGGCCAAGTTTCACATATTTTACAATCTCTTCTGATCTTGATATGCTGTTCTTTAGCCTGTGCAGAAGGGAACGTCATCAAACAACATAATTTAGCCTCAGTCCAGGACAAAGAAAAACCACAAACACCTGAAACCGAGTTAGTGCAGCTAGAGGGATTGAAGGAGTGAAGCAGCTACAGGGGATTTGCTTTTTTACTAGAGAGCAAATCTAGAAAGGAAGTTGGTGGTGTCATTTCCCCTCTACTCCCGTTCATTTCTGTGATGCTTTGAAGCAGGTCATCCCAAGTCTTCTTCCTCCCTGACTGTGATAGGAGGGGTCACAGGGAAGATGGTGAGGAAAAGACCAGCAAAGACAAGTGACAAGCAGTAGGAGGGTCCTCTTGGACCTTATCAGATGTTTCTCAGTAAGTGGAATTCTGTGAAGGGAAAATTTGAGATCAAAGGCAGGTCTTCTCCAGATTATAGATCCCTGAATGGGTTGCCACTTTAGTTTAGGAGACTGTGACCATTAGCCCTGAAGTGTGTAGAAGTACACAATGGTCATTTAATAAACAGAAGTACAACAGCCACTGCAAGAAATAAATGAGACTTACATATTCCACTCTTCAGGCTTTGCAGGCTGAGAGCTGTGCTGTGTTTCCCCCATGTTTGTTTTTTTTATAACATCTGTGGTTATCTTCACCTTCCCTCTCTGTCCCTGTAGCAAAAGCCACCTTCACCACCCTCTCCTGACGAGATCCCCATCAACGTCAAGCAAGCATACAAGACCTTTGCAGCAGTGCCCTTGTCACACCCTCTGCTTGAGACACAGGTAACTAGTGCTGGCTGGGGAGGATGTTACACAAACAGAAGACTGAGCATTGCAGGTGAGCAAGGGAAGTGTGAGAAAAGGAAGAAGGTAGTGATTTGTTTCCTCCAAACAAAGCTGTCATGAAGGAGGGGCATGTTGAGGTCCCTTTGGAAGCTGGAGTCTGTTCATGTTGTGGACAGTCACCCTGCAGAGTCCTGTCCATAAACATACCAAGTCCTGAAAGCTCATTGAATTTTTCATGTTGCTGTTTTTCTCCCCGGCCATTAGGGTGCTGTTCTGATATGAAGAATCATTCTGAACTTCCAGAGTCCAGGGTCAGGCTAAACCTGTTCTGGGAAATTTTTTTATTAGATTTTGATCTTTAACTTAATTGGAACCAGTCCTTTTCCCCTCCATGGATTTGAATCATGGAACCATTCAGGCTAGATGAGGTGGATCTGGAGGTGATCTGCCTCGGTCCTCCATGCAAAACAGGGCAACCACTGAAGTTGTAGGAGGTTGCTGAGGCCCAGTCCACTTGAGTTCTGAATTTCCAAAAATGGAGATTCTGAGGTTACTGTGGGCAATCTCTTCCAGCGTATGACCATCTCTGCTGGTTTTTCTTCTATGTGTTTTATCAGAGCTTCTTTTACCGCAACTTGTGTCTGTTGCCTCTCATCCTTTTGTTGCGCACCTCTGAGAAGTCGGACCTTGTGCTGTGTAACCCCCCTCTAGGAAGTTGAATACAGGCATTAGATTCCCCTTTCCTGAGCCTCCTCTTTTCCAGGCTGAACAAGCACAGCCTTCTGAGCCTGTTTTCAAATGTCACGTCCTGCAGCCCCCTAAATCACTTTGATGGTCTTCCACTTGACATGCTGTAATTTGTTAGTGGCATTCTTGTACTGGGGAGCTCCAAACTGGGCACGCTGCTCATGGAAGTGCTGAATAGAGAGGAAGGATTGCTTCCCTGGACCTGCTGGCTGCACTCCAGCAGCCCAGTATGTGGCCAGCCCTTACTCTGCAAAGGCATTGTCCTGACCTGTGTTCAGCGTGCTGTTGAGGCATCACCCATGCTGTCTTCCCTGCCTGTGCTTCCAGAAGAGCTTGTATCCATGCATGGCAGTACTCCAGTTAGGCGAGATCTCTGGAGCTGTCTGTTTGTAGACAATCATACTGTCACTTCATTTACTAAACTAAAGAAGCAAAACACTGTCCACTTTGACACCTCGTGTTTGGAAAGGTCCTGTATTCTCTTAATCATCTTGCTGCTTTCCTTTTCACGTGTTCCTGTCTGAATTCTTGCTGGCACATCTTTGATGCAAATGAGAGATCCTATTTCACAGATTTCTTTTTACTGTGGTACTGTTTGTCTGCTTGGTTTTTTTCTTTCTTTCTGAATCTCAATTGACAATACCTTTCCTTACATGTCAATAGGTCACACTCGCCTTTTTCATAATCATGCTACGCTGGGAGCTATGGCTATTCTGCAGTGACTTGTGACGACAACTTTGTGTTATATCTAAGCTAATCCTGTCCTCCCACTGTCACCTTGTCCTGCATTGGTGCTCATCTGGCCTCATATTGATCTGGTTTGGTAAATTAATATAGATCACAGATCTTTCTTTACTGTTGGTAGGGTTGATTTTTGGCCATTTTAGCTTTATAGACTGATTTACTTGGAGTTAGATGACTGTCAGTAGAAGCTCAAGGAAGTTGTTAGCTAAGTCCAGGATGAAAAGGAATTGGAACTTGTCTCTGTTGGCATCTGTGACCCACCAGATGACCTAAGTTCATGAGTCAGATTGTATCTTGTACACAGGTGACTTCTCCAGCTTCAAAGGCTCTAGCTGATGGATCGTGGCTTAAGAAACAGTTACTGATCCTGAAGTAGATCACCTTGTATTTTGCACTATTAAATTAAATTCTTTTCATCCTCCTCAAATCAACCTGTCATTCCAGGATGATACTCCAAACTATTTTGAATTTTGACAACGCTTGTTCCCATTCAGCGGAGTGGGATGAATGAAATAATTTGCAGAGGTCTCAGACAACTCTGCATTTCTGTGAATCTGTCTTTGCCATTCACAAATTTTATTTACACCTTCCTGGTTTCTGAGTCAAATTTGGCAGTGAAAATGTTAAGCAAGGTTGGCCACAAAACTGATCTTTGAAGTCTCGGACAAATCTATGCAGTTCCTTTGTTTCAAAAATTATTTGTATTATCAAAGAAGGATATTAGATTAATCTTCATTGCACCTGCTCCATTCAAATTATTTTTGCCTGCTTCTTGATTTTTTTTAAGAATATATTAGCTATTTTTTAGACATGAACTGCCACCAAATTAAACAAGTCAATTAAAAATCCATGCTTGTCAGACTTGCAGTTTCAACAGTCATTTCACTGAACAGTGATTATCTTGTCCCTGCAGGGGAGTGTATTGAGCTCTTAGGTTTTCTTCTGTGTTAGCAGCAATAATTTGTATTTCCAGACATTTGCTTCTTAGCTAGAAGCTTTTTTCCTTTCTTTTTTTCATTCTTACCTTCTCTATTATTGTGTTCCTTACTTAGATAAAATTAAAACTTTCTGTTAGTTTTTGAAGTGTGTTTGAATAAAGTTAAAAGTAGTCTACTTGCTCTCTTCTTGTGGTTCCTTTTCATTTGTATAATTAAAAAACTTTCATATTTTTAATAACTTCTTGGCAGTTCTCATTTTACCCTTACTGATTTCTGGTTCACAGATGGATTTTGTGGTCAATTTCTTTTTCTGCCCCCTGTAGTTCTACTCATCCAATAGTCTGTTATTTATTCTGGTAAATATGGATTTCTTTCTTTCCTGACAGTGTTTCCACTTCTTAGAAGTCAATTTTCGATAGTTGCGTCTTTGATTTAAAGAAAGTCTAAGCTTCCTCCGTCTTAAGCTAAGCTCTCTGCTCCTGTTCAAAAAATGTTTTTCAGTTTCTGCCCTTTTAAAAGTTGTCACCATCTGTTTCTGTTTAGCCCTCAATTTAAATCCTTATTACTCATGATTGCCAAGCCTAAGGTGGCATTGGCTTGTGTTAATTCTGGGACTGTTTTGTGAACCAGTCTGTCAGCTAATGTCTGGGACTGCTGCTGTCTGTGTGGCGTTGGTGACACTTGGCTGGAGGGCAGGAGTGGCGATAGAAAGCTTTCTTTTTAGAACGTGCCTGTTTCTCTGTATTCCTAGGAATTGCCTGGTCAGACCAGCACAGAGAATCCCAAAACTGCCCTGGAGGTGAGTTCTGGTGGCTGGAGCTGGAAGCGGGATCGGGACTCACAGAGGATTCAGGCTTTCGGGGCTGTGGATGTGGAGACAGGATCACAGCGTGGGCACACAGGGGAGGGCGAGGGAGGGTGTGGAGCACGTGGCTGGGGTGAGCAGGTGCGGGGCACGCGCTGGGGGAGATGTGGGGAGGGAGCTTTGGTTTGGTGGCTCTGGGCAGTGCCGGTGTGGCTCTCGCAGGTGGCCGCGCACAGCCCCAGCGGACTGCACAGCCCTGAGCAGAGATCCTTCCGTGAGAGGCAGAAGTATTTCGAAATTGAGGTGAAGCAACAGCAGATGGATAAGCCTCCCAAGCGTGTCTCCTTGGTAGGAGAGGATGACCTGAAGAAAATGAAAGAAGAGGAAGGTATGTTGGAATCTGTGTAAGGAAATTTGGTCTGTTAAGTGAATCCTTTCTCCATGGGAGGCATGAGAGAGCACACACACCAGAAATCCAGCGCTTGCAAAAGCCCATGGGTTTGAAGTAAGTGAATGTTAAGGAGTTTTGTGGATGGTCCACTGTTACTACGTGGACTTGGTGGAAGTGCTGTGGTGCCAGGGTTTCCTGTAGTTGGTAAACACTTCAATAAAATTTTAAAAAGCTACTACAAATGATGATGTTTCTTTGTAAGCTGCCCAGGCTGACATGTAGCAACATGGGGTTGCCCGTGGCATCCTTACATGCTGTATGACAGCAGAGCTTTTACTGCTCAGTATGCTGCTCTGATTTTGCACAGGGCTTGCAACAGGAGGGAAAATTATTGCTATAGTTTTTGATGTAATTTCCTCCTGCTTGAGAGTTGTTTTGAAAGGGGATGAGGAACGATGTTAAGTGGAAAAAAGGGCTTCTGAAATCCTGTCACGTTCCATAAGAAAATACAGCTGGGATTGGACTTCTGGGTTTGGGAGCTGTGACTCTGTTGCTTGCAAAGATTATCATAGAATTTCTTTTGTAAATTGTTGGATTATGGGTTTGGTTTTTGGGGGAGGTGTCATTTTATAAATAGCTAGTCTTCTCTTTCCAACCTTCCCTCCTATATTCCTGTTCAGAGGCTGTTTCTGAATTTGTCCAGAGCATTAGAAACCTTCTCATTTTCACTTAGTAGTTCAGGAATATGGATACATTTTAAGGCAAAAGAAAGCTCATAAAAGATAGAAAGGAAGGTAAGAAAAAGAAATTGCAACTTGTCATTTTGGGATCACAGGAAGTTATCTGGGTAAGTCAGACTCTTACTGTTGGCTAAAAGAGATGTTAGGAGACTCAAAGATCAAGATACAAAGTATGGAAGGAGAAACTATAGAGTAATGACGAGTTTCAGGCTTGCATTTCAGCTTGGTTTGAGATTTGCTAAGTGAGGTAGATGAGGAGAAACACCACCTCTAATCAGGATATCTCTTGAGTACTGGAATTAAAAAAAAAAAAAAAAAAAAAAAAAAATAAATCCCTCTGGGGAAGAGAGATCCCATGGTGAAGATTGTCCAGACAATATGATGATTGGGATGAAACATCCCAATTGAATATCTCAAAGTAATAAGTTACATTATCTGGATCTTTGCAGTTCCAGCACTTACACAAAGATTTCTGCTGCTTTGGGCTCCCACTGCTAGCAAACTGCAGCATTAGAAATTTCAGCATATAGGCACACCTACTTGCACAAGTGTTCTGTTTGCATTTGTTTATTTTAAAAACATTTAATAAAAGAGGCCAAGCAGCATTCTAACTTCGTAGTTATGGTAGACAGGTCAGAACAGAATAGAATATTTCATAGAATTATAGAATTGTTTAGGTTGGAAAAGACCTTTGAGATCACCCAGTCCAACCATTAACCTGACATTACCAAGTCCACCAGTAAACCAGTTAAGGGTAGAGTAGCAATTTCATGTTTCCTGGCTTGGTGGCTGGATTATTTATAATGAAAGTAGAAACTAGGAATCATCAAGATTGGAAAGGACCTCTAAGATCATCAGTCCAATCATTAACCCAACACCATCATGCCCAGTAAACCATGTCCCAGAGTGCCACGTCTGCCTGGTTTTTGAACACTTCAGCTGGAAGGGGCCTACAACGCTCACCTAGTCCAACTGCCTGACCAGTTCAGGGCTGACCAAAAGTTAAAGCATGTCGTTAAGGGCATTGTCCAAATGCCTCTTAAACACTGACACGCATGGGGCATCAACCACTTCTCTAGGAAGCCTGTTCTACTGTTTGACCACCCTCTCGGTAAAGAAATGCTTCCTAATGTCAAATCTGAACCTCCCTTGATGCGGCTTTGAGCCATTCCCAGGCGTCCTGTCCCTGGATCCCAGGGAGAAGAGATCAGCACCTCCCTCTCCACGTCCCCTCCTCAGGAAGCTGCAGAGAGCAATGGGGTCGCCCTTCAGCCTCCTTTTCTCCAAAACAGACAAACCCAGAGTCCTTAGCAGCTCCTCACAGGACATGCCTTCCAGCCCTGTCACCAGCTTTGTTGCCCTCCTCTGGACCCAGTCGAGTACTTTAACATCCTTCTTAAATGATGGGGCCCAGCACTGCACACGGTACTCAAGGTGAGGCCGCACCAATGCAAGTACAGCGGGATAATCACCTCTTTTGACCAGCTGGTTATACACACCCTGGGATGTGGTTTGCCCTCTTGGGTGCTCCTGTTGAGCCTGCTGTTGACCAGCATCTCCAGATCCCTTTCTGCAGGGCTGCTCTCCAGCCACTCCTCTCCCAGTTTATATTTGTGTCCAGAGTTACTCTGTTCTGGGTGCAGAATCTGCATTTGCTCTTGTAAAATGTCGTCATTGATGATTGCCCAATGTTCCAGTCTATCTAGATTGCTCTGCAAGGCCTCACGTCCCTTGAGAGAGTCAACAGAACCTCCCAGTTTGGTATCCTCAGCAAACTTGCTAATGGTGCATTCAACTCCTGCATCTAGGCTGTTGATAAAAATACTGAACAGAACTGGCCCTAGAATTGAACCCTGAGGAACACCGCTGGTGACTGGTTGCCTGCAGAATACCTGCCCGCAGACAGCAGCCTGCTCTCTGGCCCCTTTTGTCCTCATCCTCTTGTGACCTTTATGTCTGCCTGCCTAATGATTCCTCAGTCCACTGCCGTGTGTGGAGGCCCGTCACCAGCACTCCAGGCTTTGGCCCCTCCAGGAGGCGAGTGGGAAGATCGGAATCAACACGTGTGCAGATTCCTAGGGCTGGCCCCCTGTCTGGGGAAGGGGGCAGAAGAGTCTGCACACAACTTCCAGTTTGAGGATGAGTACACTCAGCATGATGAGCTGTTGGAAATCTGTTCTATAGAGTGTGCAGGAGTGGAAGTTTAGTGGAAGGAGGGACTGAGGGAATGATGTAGAGTTCATTACATCTGAAGCATGAATGGAGTGGAGGAGAAACAAAGGCATCCATGGAGAGGGTATGAACTTAAAACAGCACAAACTTGCAGGGATGATGAGCATAAGGACCTGTCCAGAGGTTGCATCCTTGTGGGGTTTTAGCGAGTGCTTTGTGGTATGAGTCTGTCTTATTTTGGCAGCTCGAAAACTGCAGCAGAAACGTACCCTTCTGTTGGAGGAAGAGGCCGAAGAGGATGAGATGGTAAAACAGGTGCCTGAGATGAGCATGCAGTCCAGTGTCATCATTGAAGGAGTTGAGTACAAGATTGAGAGACTAAATGGAAGGAACATCCAGGCTCCAGCAGCTCGGTAAGACAAGACTGGTAGCTCAGTACCACCCACATGTGTCAGAGGTGTCCCAGTATCAGTGATTTTCAGGGAAGAGGGCTGGGCAGTATTTCTTCTTCAGCACAGAAATGGGCAGGCTTTTCCAGCTCTTTCTTTTTAGAAAAATAGCTCCTTCAGCTGTGCACTTGGGTATGTAGAGATGTTGATTTTTAGGGATAGTTAATTCAACATAAGGCCTGATTCTGAAGCTAGGTTTAGGGTTTTTTTAGGCTTTTTTAGGTTTTTGTTTCCTGGTTCTCCTGGACTTGTCCTCCAGGTTGCCTTGATGTTGTTTTTCTAATTCTTGGGCACAGAACTGGGGAATGAGAAAAGGCTTCTCATAAGACTTCAGATAAAAATAAGGTTGCACTAGAATAAAGCTGAAGCTGTTCTTACCTGACTCTCTCTTCTGAGTCTTTGGTACGGACATTCTTCTCTTCACACTTTTACTGTCAGTCTTACAGTGGCTGAAAACACTTATCCTGTCATTTTGAATCTCATTTCTCTCCACTGTTTCTGTCCAGTCTCTGTTGAGGAACTTCTCACATAATGAATGCACTGAGTCCTACCTCCTGTGCTGACAGGGCAGCTCTAAGGAAGGACAGCAGCCAAATGCAAACCAGCTTCTTGGTTTGATGTGAAGGCCTACTTATCCCTACTGGTTTCATATTGAAATGTGGGAGGTTAGAGAACAGCAAGGCTGGATCTATCAGATGACCTTCAGTTGCTTATTTATTTATGCTTGAACAAAGGCGAGGCAGTGGAATAGACTTGAATTTGTGTTTCTTGAAATATTTTCTGTTATACTAGAACAGAAGCTGAAATTTAATCAAAATAAACCTAAGGAGTAAAAATAAGGGCTCAGATTCATGATAAACTTTCTCACTGCCAACTGAGCCACAGTAACTGTGTGCATGTTCTTAACCTGCGGAAAACAGGCTTGTGTGACCTTTCATTACAGGTTAAACTGAGTAGTATCTGCACATGCACAACTTAAGAGTGCAGATGGCAACTACATCTCAGCTGATCTGAAGTTTGCAGTAGTTGGTTATGAGCATAAAGCCTCAGCGTGTCAAGCAGTTGCACGTAGAGTGGCTACATTGAGAATAACTGTTCTGAGATCACTCAGAATTCATCCCTAGCCCAGATGTGCATTCACTTACAACCCAGGAGGGTCGTCCTTTGTTAACATTCATGCATATCTGACATCAGCAAAGGAAAAAGCTGGAAGGAGCCAGGCTGCCCATCACATAATGGCAGCTGGAAAGAGCCAGGCTAGAACTGTGCAAGAATTTGTCAGCAAACACGATGCATTACATTTGAAGAGTGTGTGTGTGTGTTAGTGGATGGTTGACCTCCAAATGAAGAAAATGAGTTCTGATGTTGGAGAGTGTGAACATTGATGAAACCAACAAGGAAATGCTTGCGGCAATGGAGAAGGAGCTATTGAGCAAAATCATTAAGGGTTGTGTCTTCAGACTGAACTAGCTGTTGCTTTCTGGGGCTTGGATCTGTTCTGAACCTTTCTCGGGTATGCCAGTCTGTGGTACTGTTAGCTGCCATGCTTGTTTTGCTGTAGGCCCTCTGAGGTCAATGAGAACAGCAGCTCGCTGAGGAATTCACTGGAAGAGGGAATCAAGCCTGAACAGAGAACCAACTCTGCGTCTGGGTAAGTGGATCAGCAATGTCCTTTGCCTAGGAGCTGCCAGATGATGGAGCAGATGGCTCCACCTTTTTAGCAGACATAGGGTATAAAAGGAAGGATTTTGTGGAGAAGGGGAAACTGTGATCAGAACCAGCTTCTTAAGAGAAACTCACCTGGTTTACGTCCTTCCATCTTCCAAGGTGACGTCCTTGGATATGGTACTAAACAGTAGATTAGGGGTGTCCGTCATCACCTTTTACCTTGAAAATAGGCAGATAAGAGTTGTGGTAGACCAGGCCAGCCTACCTCTCACTGTTTCTCTCTCTCCCCAGGTTGAGTCCATTATATCTTGGAGCAGGGGATCCAGTGGCACCTGTGCGGACAGCCAAAGCTGAACGGCGGCACCAAGAGCGATTGCGAATGCAGAGTCCTGAGCTTCTGAGTGGTCAAGAAAAGGAGCTTTCTCCAGCCGAACGTCGTGCTCTGGAGGCAGAGAAACGAGCAATGTGGAGGGCGGCACGGTGAGACAGAAGAACCTTCACTGTTCTCTTTGCTAGGCTAGTTCAGGAAAAGGGGACCTGCTGCATGTCTTTTGGATTATGTGGTATTAAAAACAGGGAATAAACAAGCCTTCCTAAGTCAGATGTTAGGGGAAGTTATATAGTATCTGTTCAAACAGTGCAAAGCATCCGCCGCTTGACTGAGCTCATCTGCTTCTGACAGCTACGTGGGTGAGATGTCTCTTACACTTCAAGTGCTTGCACGATTGTGAAGACAGTGGAGTTTTATAAAACACATAACTTGAACACCATTATGTGATGGTGAATGTATTCCTTTCCTCTCAGCACACAGCTTCCCACCTCCTTTGTAACACATGAAAAAGACTATATTTATTGAAGCTGCAAGGTGACATACTCAAAATGAAAAATGGAAAGAGCATTTCACATATCCAGTGTTGCTAGACTGGAAAACACTGAAGCCAAGAAATTAGCAAGACAAGAGCATTCTTATCCACAGAAGCTGTTTCATCAGCTATGAAAGAGTGATTAAAAATTGTTTTGGAAGAAAGAGAACTTTCTAGCTCAGAACTTAAGACTTGAAGCTAGTCCAGGCATTTACTGTGTCATACAATTCCTTTCAAAAATTAGTCAAGCTGCTCCTATAACTAATTATAGTTTTCTTCCCATAATGTCCCTGTAGGGGGCATTCAAAGAACAATCTGAAATAGTCTCTTTTGGGATTTGAATGAGAGCTTTTAGAGGAACAGGGCTGCTAGTGACTCATCCTTGCCAGCCTGTTAGGTAAGACGCTGGAGGGATTACTGTGAGTTGTGATACCACTTGGAAATTCCAGTGTTTGTGCTTAGACATGGATGATAATGGTGCTGTTGTCTTCTGGGGAGGTTCTGAGGATGAAGAAACACATAGCGGAATCCTCAATGAGAGCTGGCTAATTATCTAGGGCTTTGAGGGTACAAAGCTTCCCACTGTTACCTGATCATGTAACAGATCTGCTTATGGTTTATTTAGAGCTGGATTAATGTTCCTAGTATCAGGGCTTTTGCCCTTCAAGAAAAACTTTCTTGGTGTGCTCCAACTCTTTGCCTTGGATGAGTCCTTTGCCTGGTCTGTCTCAGCTGGAAACTTTTTTCTGAAGCACTGCCTTAGTTTCACTGCACTGCCCTAGTTTCACTGCACTGCCCTGTCATGTCAGAAAGCTTGAACAGGTCACTGGAAAGCCTGTTTGTTATATGGAACCTTGATTGGGAAGAGATTGATTTCTGTCATCCTGTAGAATGTTTGTTAGACCTTTTGAAGCTGGCCCTGCTTTGAGCAGCTTTTGGATCAGATGACCTCCAGAGGTCCCTTCCAACCTGAATTACTGTGAGTCTATACTTAGTATTCTCTCCTTCCCTGGCTCCCCACTAATGGGGATGCCTGCATACAGGCAGAGTGATGAGTCAGGATGCCAACAGAGTGTGCGCTGGCAGGATTGTTTCTGCCCTGTGCTATTGTTTCATGCTCCAAATACTGTGGGATTCTGTCTGCTGCTCTGAGTCACTGAATGTTCTGCTGTATTTGGCATCTCACGCCTGTCCTAGTTGATGCTGTTCCCATGGTTTCTGTGTCACAACTTTTCAGGTGGCATCACTTGCAAATGGAAGTTCTGCATTTTCATATTAAGCCAGGAACAACCCTTTTACAAAAGTACAAATGGAAAAGAATTTGTAAACGGTGCCTGCCAAAACAGACGAATTGCCCTTGTGTTATAGGGCTAGAAGCTGCACAGGTGTTGTGGAGCCAAATGTGTGCTTACAAACAATCGCTCAGAAGAGGCTGGCTGGGACTGAGTTGACCAGATCCAAATTCTTGCTCTGGCATATACTTCCTTATGACATTGGACAGATCACCGAGTCCCTCTGTGCTGCAGATGCATGGAGAGAGGACTGTAATAGCACTTCTCTGTCTCACAGGAAGGCTATGAGTGTGGAATACATTAAAAACCGACTGTCAATGTGATGCTGTGTAAGCACCACAGTGTCATCAGGAGTAGACATCTTGCACAGAGCTGCTGCTTAGTCTTTGCACCTAAAAAAAAAAAAAACCCTCCATTGTTGTATTTGATCCAACAAAACAGAAGTTGTCAGTCAGGCTTCTCCTCCTGAAAATCAACATCACTGTGCTTGGAGAGACAGTAGAGACTGATCTGTCATCTCTTCCCAATTAAATACATAGGATTTTCTCTCCCTCGTGCCTCTACTTCCCATGCATATTTTTCATACAATGGGGCAGGCTTTATGAGGTAATGTCAGCTCTGATTCCTCCTAATCCTAAGCATTAACATATCCAAGGAATGCTGTAATAAAAGCTTTGTTTAAGGTGGGTGTAGAAAGGAGAAACATGACATTGCCTGTGCAAACCTTTGAAAGCAAAACCATTACAAGGACATGTCACAGAATGTACACCACTTGCCTCAAGACCCTGTGTTCTTCCATGAACCTGTTGCTGATGTCAGCAAATAAAGAAATCTGAAAGGGGGGGGGAGCAGGGCAGGATTTTTTTAGGTGATCATGTGATTTGTTCTTGTAACATTACTGTACATCTGACTTGGCTTTTGGGTTAGCTAGGATTTTGTTGAAATTGCTTAGGGCACAGTAAAAGTTCTACATTACACTGTAGAAGGGTTAGTGAGTGTTGAGTGTAGTGGTTTTGTCCGCTATGGGCGGGAGAGAGATCCCTGCATTCCAAACCTTCAGTCTCTTCTCGTCTAAGCCTGTTTTGTTCATGGAAAATGAACTAGTGAAGGGAGAGCCTTTTAGAGGTAAGAATACATGACAAGAAGCAGCTACTTGCAGCTGTCTTGTTTTTCAGTTATCAGATCCAGTGTTACTGTTTTTAAGTTCTGTAGACCAGGTCCTCAGCTCCACTTTGCTTCTGATACCAAGGTGTAGCTTTTTATTCCGTTCTTAGAGGAGTGCCTGGCTGATTCCTTGGGTAGGGTTGAGGCCTTGCTTATTTTGGCATTGGCAGGAATCAGTCAGTCACCATAATGTGCTACTTTTTGTAAGACAAGGATGGACTGTTCCCTGCTACCACAGATCTCCCAGGATGATCTGGTCGTCTTAGGATCCCTCTTCTAGAACTGCTAGAGCAGGCACAGTGACATGATGACAACCAGGGCTCAGGTCTTATTTCTAGAGGCCCCCCGGCAGCACTACATGTGCTGTGTGGGAGGGAGGACTGTATTGCCCTGCACGTGGTGCTGCAGCCTCACTAACCTGTATTTTCTTTTAAGTGCATGCCACTGATTTTATTTCTTTCTTTCTAATCGTCTGTCTTCTGCTTCTTTCCAGTTCTCTGGTCTGTGTGCTGTCACTCGTGACCCCATCAGTTTGCACCTTCTTGGGCCTTCCTTTTTCTCCCTGTGTCATCAGTGCTCTGCCAGGACATGTGATGCGTCCCCCCTTCCCCCCCACCACACACCCCTGTGCTCTGTTGGGACAAACACACTGGGACCCATGCGACATAAGTGTTCTGGGCACACGCAACCACTGGCATTTGTGCCGTAGGAAGAGTGTGATTAAGAAGGCACAGCCACACATTGAGGGGGGCACGTGTGCAGCAAGGACTGTATGCATCTTGGCAGTTTTCCTACCATGCACATGCTATTTTACAGATGCACTCACCTCTTCAATTGCATGTGTTCCAGGGCCTGTGGCAAACAGACCCTCCATAATGTGCTTGTCCATTTTGCTTCCCTTTTTTTGTGGTGAAACAAAGGTGCATGCTAACAGGTGGTCAGATATATGTATGCAAGTGTACGCTAAGAGACTATCAAATGCATGCACGCACACTCACTCATGTCCTGTACTCCCTCAGTTTCACCCATACACATGTACACACTTCTTTGTAACTATCATCTCCTGGGCCTTTTCCGTTGGTCTGCTGGGTGTTTCTAGTCCTCTCCTCCAAGCCCGTGAGGAGCGCGGTCCCTAGATGCTGAGACTCTGAAGGCTAATGCTTCTGGGCACATCGTCCCAGATTACCCTCTGGAGGTTCCTGCTTCTTCTGCAGCAGTTGGTGTAGGACAGGATCAGATACAGGACACTTTTAATCAAGTCTACCCCTATATCAGACCCATGTTTCTCCTTGCCAGGATATGTTCCTGTATCTGTTTCTTTCTTTCCCTGCACTTGTCCGCTGCAATGTTCATCACCGTCATCTCCTCTTCCTCTTCCTCCTCTTCCTCCTCCTCTTCCTCCTCCTCAGATCCTCAGCTCTTGAAGACAGTATTAAACAGTACGAGCAGGATCTGGCCAGGAAGCTGTACCAGTCCCGACAGTGGGCACCTGCTCCCGGGGCCAGGCCAGCTCAGATGTCTAGTCCAATGCAGAGTCACGCCTCAAGAATCCCTGGGTCAGGAAGCCAATCCAGGTGTGCACAGCCCCCTCCCTGCCAGCTGCATGCTCAACAGTCCTGTCTGTATCCCTACATCCTAATGCGGTGCTCCCAGCTGTGGCCTGCTACGGGTAGGGAGGAAATTTTAGTGGTTGCTGGTGTTCATTTCCCTGAGGTCCCACAGACTACTGGCAGTTGTCTCAATGAGAATGAGGGGGGATGCTGGGTCTGTTTGGTTGGGAGAAGGGAGCGGACATGTCTGAGGGCTGAGCCCACTTTTTCTTAGCTATTTTATAATCCTCCTGATGGCTGAAGAGGGTTAACATGCAACACACTGAGAGCACAGAGAAGAGTAAAGCCCTGAGAACTGATCCTACTCGTTTGAGCCCATGCAGTTCCTTTCCCAGCTTGGGTTGCTCTCCCATCCTATCTGGCACCTCTGGAAAGGCCTGCAGCTTCTCAGTGCGTTGATGCTTAGCTCTAGGCTCTGTCTGTTCAACACATATGATGGCATGGGTGTTTTAGGATGATGGCAAAGCAAGCTGTTCTCTCCTGCTTTGAAAGTCTGTCTGCCTCAGGGAACCAAGGGTGCTTAATTTTGCCTTTCTGCGCTCAGCCTGTTGACTGTGGTCTGGCTGCTGGGCGCAGAAGGCGGCATTATCTCTTAGTGACAAGGCAATGTCTGATGTCTTTTTCTCCCTCCCTCATTTCCGAGGCAGGATGAAATCACTTGAACAGGATGCTCTTAAAGCCCAAATGGTTATTGCCAAGTCCAAGGAGGGGAAAAAACGCAGCACACTGGAGCAGCTGGCAGAGTCACCTTCACCTGTTCCTACCCCATCACCAACACCACTGGAAGGTACAGTGTAGCTATCTCTGCCTCTGAGGAAAGAAGTTAATGCTTCTCTAGCTTAACTTGCTTGAAAGCAGGCTTGTTGAAAGCAATTTCCTCCTTCAGCCTAGATTGGAAAGTCCTTTGTGGCATATGACATCTCTCAGCATAGGGGATGGGCCTGATCTATAGAAGATGTGAGAGAACATCGAGGTATGGTTCCAGGGAACCAGAGCAGAAATAAAACCAGTATCACGACTTTAAAAAAAAAAAAAAAAACAGGAGAGAGGCATGTGTTCTGAGAAGGCAGCGTCTTTCCTGAGCATAGTCTTTTATCACACTTAAATGCTGCTAAATGGAAGGGGCAGATATGGGGAGGTGTTGTATGTAATACAGCCATTCACTAAATAGTGCTTTTCTGTCATCTTTTGCAGATTGCAGTCCCAGAAGCGTCACTTCACCGGGAAGGCTGGTATGACATACTTCTGCTTGGTTTTGTTATCTCAACCGTAATCCTGGGATTTCTCGGTTACTCAGCTTGGGTGTGGACTGGGCATCTGGGCCATGGGATCCTTACTTAAATACTTAAGCCAGGTCTGGCTGCATGATATACAGAATTGTGAAGAGGGCACAGTGGATGGAGCTCTGCCATACCCATTGCTAGAGGCATCCCCCCCTTTTTTGCAACTACAATGTAACGTCTGTGTTCTGTTTCCCTGTTTTATTTTTTCATCCCTTTCTTGGTTCTTCATCTCCTTGTTCAGAAACCCTTGGCCTCTTGTTTCCTCAGCAGCATAAAACTGAGGACGTTAGCTGATGTCAGCATTTTCATTTTTCTAAGCACTATATAAATGCAACAGGACATTGTTGCAGAGAACTGTCAAAATTAGTAAGACAACAAACGGAAGAGTGGGAGCAGCTGCACAGAGAGGGGACCTGGTTTTGCCCAAGGTCACACAATACAGCCAACTCTGGATTGAAATCGTGACTGTGCTACAGCTATCAGGAATCTTGCCACGAATTTTCCCATGAAAATAGGTTTCCTGCCTAACTTGGTTTGCATGCGCATTTTACTGGAGCACATAATGTTTTCTGTGCAACTTGGAACCCCTGTCCTGACACCAGAATAGCTAAAAAGACAGTGTCCCAGAGATGCCTCATTTTCAGAGGCTATATCCAGAAACTCTTGGCACTAACTGAGAATGACGCTTTGCTTCTGCTTTTATCTCTGCATATGTTGCTCAGCTTGCTGCTGGTTTTCCATCTATTTCTCTCCTCTTACTCTCTCTTCTCTGTTTCTTCTCTTTTGCTGTCCCTTCTAGTCCATGTCTGAAAAGAAGTTTGACTACCGGGAATTTGCTGCTATTCCTTCCTCCAAACCTGTTTACGAAATCCAGGTATAAACTGCATGCTAAAACATGTATTAATTGGTTAGGGCTTGATTTGATGGAAGTGCCTGCACGTGAAGTGATGACCTTCAGAGCAGAGGTTGAATGATTTGAGGAAGTCCTCTCCAAAGGCCCTGTCTATGTGGGAGGCAATGACAACCAGCCATGCTGTATAACTGAGGGTTTATTGGAGACTTCAGTCAAGTGGAATTGTGAAAAAGTTGGTCCAGACGGTTTTAAAATTGGCAAAAGCTTTGCAAATATAAAGCAGCTACATCTTCACCTTAGTTGAGCCTGAAATATTTTTAAGTGAAAGATGAGAACTAAAAGGGAAGAAAACACTATAGAAATGATTGCCAACAAATTGCAAATTGGAGCAAATGTTAACTTTGGACTGGAATGTATCCAGCATCCTGCACAAGAAGCAGCTGTGGTGACAATTCTCATATGTTGTAACTCAGCTGTAGATGAACTGTGAAGTAATCACGTGGTAAGAGCACACCAAGTTTTGAGAGTGAGTGCCATGGCGAGGTTCTTCTCCTTCCTGAAAGAACCTCATTTCATTTAAGCTACTTTGTCATAGAATCACAGAATGGCTGAGGTTTGAAGGGACCTCTGGAGGTCATCTTGTCCGACCACCCCTGCTCAAGCAAGGCCACGTGGAGCCAGTTGCTCAGGACTGTGAACGGCTTTGGTCTTATTGTCTGGGTTAGTCATTAACAGATTGCATTTGTGACAGCTGATTTAAGCAGATACTGTATGTCTGTAATTTTTTTTTTTTTTAGGTGCTTTTTTAGCTTTACATAAAGACAATGAAGCAGATACCTGCAGTTAAGTTTGTGTTGTGTGTGGAGAGCTAGCAAGTACGTGCTGGGCTTTAACTTGCTGTCACGACACAAAGATGCCAGGTCCAAGGTGTCATTCTCAAAGCCAGGCTGACTTTAGCAGACTTGCAGTTTGAGGATTCTCAGGCAGTTATACATTATTTGATGCTGACTCCTTTCACTAGTGGTATTGCTCAGCCCTTGGTAGTCTGTCATCTTTTTCTCTAAGAATCCCTTGCCTTTGGGGATGTGCACCTGTCCAGGTTCTATACCAAGTGAGTTAGAGGGCTGGCTACTCGAGCCCCAGTGGCAGCTCTGGACTACCTGCGTTTCCCCAAGCCTCTGCTGAGGCCACAGCTGAGAAGGTGCCTCCAACGGAGGCTGCACCTCCAAGTCATCAGGCAGTTGCAGTGCAGTAATTAAGAGACTGTATTTCTTCCTGGTCATAGTTGCACAACTATGTCATTCGCTTTGGATCAGCGTGGTGCTATTGGGCTGGGCTGTGTTCCTCAGCAATGCATGCCAAAGTCATCACAGCCCCCTGTGCTCTGCTCTCTGCTGTTCATGAAGAGCATGACTTCTACCACACATTTGCTTTATTTCTAAAGCACTAAATGGGCTGAGATCATCCCCCCTCTTTCCTGCCTCTTCCAGTTTTGCTGCTTGCACAAAATAGGCAAGTTTATATGGAAATGAGGGCTTCTTGCACTCTCACAGCTGTGAAACTTCTCTAAAGCTTTCCATATAAGTGTATAGAGCCACCATCCTTTATCCTGCAACTAAAGAAAAATTAAGCTACTCCTCCCTTGTGCTCTTGAGCTGAGCAAGAAGACCCGTAAAAGATAGATTTTGATCAGTAGTGGCCAGAACTTTCAGATTAATTTGGCATTATTAAGCTTGCTGAATAGTGAGCTCTTCTGAAACCCTATCCTTACCTTTGTATAGCTCAGAGAAGTGTTGAGCTCACTATAAGTATTGTGTACAAACCTAGAAAGAGTAGTAGAAGTAGCAAATGCAGCCACTTCTTTTGAAGTAAACAGAATACCTCAACAGAACACTTTGACCTTTCTATCCTTGAAGCACTACATACAGCTAGATTAAATGCTCTATTTCAGTAAAATAAATAGGGCTTGGGATATTTATGCCTGTCCCCAGTCGTGCTGATTTGCAAGCCACCTCAAGTTCATGACCATGAGCAAAGTTGTTTTCTCATGGTGTTGTCACTCCAATCTGATGAAGTACACACAGGTCTGGTTGTTGGAGTGGTCTTCATTTTACGAAGGCTTTAAAATTACCAGGCGCTGGTGGGGTTTCATGATTGTCACTTAGCCATTTCTCCAAAGCTGTCTCTGCCATCTGTTGGGATGTAACATAGAATCATGGAATCGTTTAGGTTGGAAAAGACTTTTAA